CACTTTTATATATTCCAAAGCAAGTTCTCTGTCAGATATATGTATTGCAAATATTTTCAGTCTATGGCTTGCCTTTTTCATTTTCTTAATGGTGTCTTTTGATGAGCAGAAGTTTTTTTAATTTTGATAAAGTCTAGCTTGATAATCAGTTTTTTATTGCAAGGTTAATGTTATCTGTGTCCTGGATAAGAAATGTCTGCCTACACACAATATCACAAAGATATTCTCCCATCTTCTAAACATTTTATAGTTTTAGCTTTTATGTTCAGGTCTACAATCCATGTTGAAATATATTTTGTGAATGGTCCAAGGTATGGGTCAAAGTTCACTTTATTCCAATTAGATATCAAGTTGTTCTACCACCACCATTTGTTGAAATAATTTTTAGATTGACTTTGGTTTCGAGTTTGCAAATATTTTGGAAATGGGCTTAACACGTCTTACGCAACATTCAGCATTCAATAAAAGATAGGACCAAATGACTAAACACAAGAAGACAGAAAATGACAATAGTTATCAGGCACATTCTCTAAAAAAAACTATAATTAATACGCTTAAGAAGGTAAGTGACAAAATGAATTTCAACAGAGTAAAATCCATTTAAAAAAAACAAACTGAAATTCTGCAATAACTCAAAACTACAATACCTGAAACTAAGAACACAATAGATGATAGCAGATTAGACATAGCAGAAAAGAGGAATAGAGAACTAGAAGGCAAATTAGCAGAAAAATTTCAAATAACCAAAGCTCAGAGAGAATGGGAAATACATAAAGGAGGCTTTGAGAGATAGAAAATACAGTGAAAGGTTTAACATATGTGTAATTACAGTCCTTGAAGGAAAGGAAAGAACAGGAGAGAAGCAGTATTTGAAGAAACACTGGCTGACAATTTCCTAAACTGTTCAAAGACACCCAATTCAAGAAGCATTATCCAAACAGAATAATTACAAAAAAGCCAACCATCTCTGTCCTCATAGGCCTTCATTCTGGAAGGAGACAGAGAACAAATAAGAAACTACTATTAATAATTACATAGTAAATATGTTAGAATCTAATACGTTCTTTCTTTAAAAAAGGGAAAATAGTTTATAAGGTAAAGGGGTCCCAAAGTATGGAGGGAAGTATCTGCACTATTATATAGGATATACAAGGCCACGAAGGAAGTAATCAGAAAAATAATTTTGACTAAACATAGGTTAACAAGAAAAAAGTAGCCACACTGAGAGAAGCTTAAAAAAATTATCTACATGAACATGGAAGAAAAAAGACTATGCTCGCGCCATGAGTAATCACTTACACAAAGAGCAGCAATTTGTTAAGCACCTACAATTATCAGACTGGATGCTAGATGCCAGGGATACAGGGAATGTGATACACTTTATTCAAGAAGCTTATCGGATGGAAGAGCAATGAGGTATCAGTTTAAGCATGAGAAGAATTTACAGAAAGCAGTATCCAAATGTTACACTGTTTCATGAATACTCAAGAACCAGAACATAATCTTCCCTACAGAAAAAACAGAGTAGCATTACTCAACAGAGCTTACTGCGGTGATGGAACAATTCTGTATCTGCACGGTCCCATAAGGTTAACCACCAGCCACCCGTGACTGCCTACCGAGTACTTCAAATGTGGCTGGTACAAGGAATGGAATTATTAATTTTACTTATTGCTAATTAATTTAAAGAGCCACATGTCACGAGTGGCTGCACAGACAGTGGAGGTATAGAGTATGACAACCAATCTCACTTGGTTCTACACTTTAATAGAGGGGTCTGCATACATCATAAAGATAAATGATGAAGAAATACATCATAAGGGTAACTAAAGGGCTGGAAAATAAAACCTCCAGGAAAAGGCTGAAAACAGAATTCTTAATGTATTTACATCTTACTCTGTTCCAGAAAGAATCTAGCATGACTTGTAAAGACTCGGAGCACAGCCAAGAAAAATCACTTGTTAAATGTTAAAAATGCAGATGCGAACATTAAAAAGGTAAAAAACAAATTTAAAACAACTAATAAAAAGAACCACCTTCCACAAGGAAGAAATAACTGAATAGCCGCTTGGTACTGATATTTTATGACCATAAGCAATTTTTTTTTTTTACAGATTTTAGTGGTTAAGACACTATTCAAGGAGTGGGTTATAGAACATGGATTTAATCCAGAGGACGAAAATTTTAGCTTGGTATACTGATGATCTATATACCAATATATATAACAAATTACCCCCAAACTGAGCAGTTTAAAACAAACCCATTTATGGTCTCACACAGGTCAGAGTCTCTCGTGAGCTTGCACACATGGCTGTGGGCTTGACTGGGACTGAGAGGATCCACTTCCCGGATGGTCATCACATGGCTGCTGGCAGGAGGCCTCAGTTCCTCACCACACAGATCTCTCTACTTGGACGCTTGAGTGTCCTCACAACATGGCAGCTGTCTTTGTCAGAGTGAGTGATCCAAGAGACAAAGCAAAGGGGAAGCTGCACGGACTTTTGTGTCTCAAAAGTCACACACTGTCATTTCCCCCATGTCTATCATTTACAAATAAGTCACTAAGTTCAGCCCACACTCAAGGGGAGAGGAATTCTTTTGTTCCATCATTTACTTTCTTACTTTCCTCAGTATGTTTTTGCTTTGGCCGGTGTCTTTCTATTTGCTACTCTGAGGCCTCATTTTGCTTCACTTTACATCCCATCCAACTCCTAACACCTTGGTCCATCCTCCTTCTGGGTCCATTGACATTGGATGGATCCTCTCAGAGCAGATGGACTCTGGAAACCCCCTGAGTTTCTGTGAGGGTGATTTGCCCAAAGACACACAAAGAAGTAGTTGCAGAATCAGGACCAGAAGCCGGATCTCACAAACTCTCATCAAGGGCTCTCTGCCCCACCACACAGCTATATGCCTCCCTATCCCAAGACCTGCACATCAGTTCACCTTTCCTGGTCTTCAAAATCCACCTGGGATTTGGACAAACTTCCTGCCAGCCCCAGGAAAAACTCAAATCAAATATGGGACACATCTTTACTTCCTCATTCTTCCCCAACAATCCAATTGGTCCCTGAGTCTTGTCTATTCAATCTTGTAAATATTTTTCAATATTTATCCTACCCACCCCATAGATAACATCCTAAATTCAGGCACTTTTCTCTTTCACTTGGGCTTCTGCATCTTCTTAAAAGTCCCCTGCCTCTACCCTCACCCTAATGTATCCCCAACAGTGGCAGTCAGAGATCTTTCTAATATACAGATCTTGCCATGCCATGCCCTTGAAAGAACCTTCAATGGTTCCCCTCACAAGGGACAGAGTCAAGAAAGGTCTTGTAAACTGGCTCGGGGTCTCGGATTTTATCCTCCAGGTTATAGTGTCCTGATGTTTGACCATCTCCTCTGTACCATACACCTTACCTACGTTATCTCATTTAGACCACTCCGAAACTGCAAAATCAGCACACAGTCCCTTTGCACATACTGTTCTTTCTAATTGCCCTCTCATCTGTAAGCCACGAAGCCAAAGTAATCTAAAACCTTTCCTGGCCCACCAATCTACCCATGAGGTCCGCAGTTCCCCCTGTGCCACTACCTCTTCTTGTCTAGACCCCCCCATTACAATCTGTTTACACAGCAATGACTCCAACATGCTTGAAAAAAGGGGGGTATCACATTCATCTCTGCCCCTTCAGCCTCTAGAAAAGAACCTGTTTCAGAGTAGGTACTTAATAAAGGTAGATGACTGATTACTGACTAAAAGGAGGGTCCTCATGGTATAGATATGCCCAAGCAGTAACTCATTCAACACATCTCCCAGAGTGTCATATCAATTAACACATCTCCCCCAAATCCCAAGGAGCACTGCCCTGGGCTCTTAGCACTCTTCCAATTGCTCAACACTTCTTATTGTGATTTAAAGCAGTAGAAGTGCTCAGATCAAAAGGACCTCTAGGACTTCTATGCTCCCTCTACTCTTTGCTAACTGCTGGTTCCCCAGAACAGGACTTTCCAGGAGAAGACTTTTTATTTTTCAACTTCATCACCTAGCACAAAACCTGGCACATGGGGGACCATCCATAAATGCGTTAAAGGATAGTATCAGGTAGCATTTACTTAGTACTATGTGTCAGGTATGTGCTAAGAATTTAATATGCATTATCTCATTTAATCCTGACAAACAATGTCCCCAGAAAGGTACTGTCCAACATTATTCCTATTAAACAGACGTGGAAACTGAGGCCCAGAAAAGACTAGAACCAAATCAAACAGGCACTGAAGGCATCACATACTTTATATTTTCACATGCTTTATTTCATTTATTCCTCTGTACAATTCAGAAATGAAGTCATGTATTATATTCCCATTTTTAGGCAAGAAATCTTAAGGCTTGGAAAAACTGCACAATAACGCACGCACAGCTTGTAGGGCCGGGAACCAAATCCAGGTCTGTCAGACTCCTGGGCACCTTTGACAATGGCCATCTGGCCCTTCAATGGCAGAGTAAGGATTGAAGTGGCCTCTCCACAAAGCGCGGCCACCATTGGGGACGCAAAGCCTGAGCTGACAGGCCGAATGGAGTGACGCCACCTCCCTCCCACCTTACACATCTGTAACGTGTCTCTCCCCCACCAGCACTGACTCCGGCGTCCTGTGGGTCTGTTCCCATTACAGTAGCGCCATCAACGCGACTCAACTAACCAAACAGGCAGCAAGCGGCCAAAGCCTCACTTGGCTCGGTCCCCCTTCCTGCACCCCGGCTTCACACCTGTACTGACGGGCGGGGAGCTGGTGTCAGCCCCCCCGGGCACCTCGGGGACCGGGCGCGGGAGGACGCGGGCCTGGCATCGGCGGCCCGGGGCCCCTCGGGCGCATCGCGGAGGCCGCCACCCTGCGGTCGTCCCGGGAGGAGGGGGCGGCCCGCTCCCCAGAGGCCGCGCCCCCGCCCCGCTCCCGCAGCCCCACCGGGCCGCCCCCGACGCTCGCGCCGCCCGGGCCGTTACCGATTCCGCTGCTCTTTGAAGAGCGCCGTCAGCGCGCGGAGAGCCTCCAGGTCCTGGATGGGCGCGGGCACCATGACACCGGACAGCCTGCCGGGCGGCGGCCTGGGCGCCGCCATCTTGCCGCTCGCAGCTCGGGCCGAGCTGGCGACGACGAGGAGCAGCAGGAGGAGGAGCAGGAGGGAAGGCAGAAGGGGGAGGAGCGCGCCCCGCAGCCTCCTGACGCCGCCGCCGCCGCCGACTCTGCGCCGCTGTAGCCCGTGGCCGGGCTGGGAGAGCGCGAGAGCACGCGCCCCGGCTCGCCTCGGGCTGGAGGACGCAACGGCTCGGCTAGGGGAGGGGGCGCGGGCGGAAGTCCCGCCTGTAGGGAGGGGGCGCCGGCCGGAAGTTCGGCCTGTGGGGAGGGGGCGCGGGCGGAAGTTGTGTTTGAGGGGGCGGGGAAGTCAGGAGGGTGGAGGATCCCAGAGAAGTCTGGATGGGGCACTGGGACAGGGGCACCCTGAGAGGGGAGGTGCGGGCAGAGGGGGTCTCCCCGGGAGGGGTATGAGGAAGGGTGGGGAGTCCTGCAGAAGCTCCCCCGGCGGAAAAGGCTGAAGACCTGGATCCTGCGGTTGGGTGGGTTGATCAGTGCCCACACCGACCCACCCGGAACTGGAGCAGTCTGTCTCCAGCTTGCAAGTCTCAGACCCTGGAAGCTCACTTCCCAATTCGTACTGATCATTTACTGACGATAACAGTTCATTTACCAGGCCTGCTTGGGATGAGAATACGTTGTTCCAGCTCATCGAGGGCTTTATATACAATTAGATGTCAAGGAGCTAAATTCTACATAGGTAGGGTAAGAATTGTGTTTTTCTAAGGGAAATGAGTATATTTTATAGGAATCAGACAAGGCTTCTCTGGGGTGCTGGTAACTCATATGTTTTCTTTCCACCACGCTTTATTCATATCATGTATATGTCCTTTCAACAGGCATTGTTGCCAAGCCCCATGCTAGGTGCTGGACAAACGGTGGTCCCTCGGTATCTGTGTGGGATTGGTCCGGGATCTCCCATGGACACCAAAATCCGTGGATGCTCAAGTCCCATAGTTGGCCCTCTGTATCCACGGGTGTGGAACTCATGGATACAGAGGGACGCCTGTGTAAATATCAATAAGAGACGATCCCAACCCTGAAGAAACTCAAAGACTATTGAGAGAGAGACATGCAAACATAATTGAATACAGTTGATTACTGCTATGACAGAGGACTACACAAATTGCTATGGAACCATTTAAAATATGTAAATAGTACCCTCTACATTTTTACTGGAAGAGTGTGTGTTTATAACGTAGCACTTTTGATGTTCTTTGCTAAATAAAATTTAAAGACCCAGTAAACACCACTAGAGTATGCAGGAGAGCTGAAACATGAACACCTGATATTGTAATTCAGCCTTACCCATTTAACTGACTACATATGCATTCATTCCACAAGTATTTCTATGTACCTACTATGTGCCAGGCATTAGATCACCTGGCAGTGCTCAAGACCATTCAAAATGTTTAACAATCCTTAAACTAGCAGGGCAAAATCTCCCAATTTTCCCCTGAAGAACAGGGAATAGGAAAACGTACTGTCACCAATCAAGACCTCACCCCTTGGACTTCCCTGGTGGCACCGTGGTTAAGAATCCGCCTGCCAATGCAAGGAACAAGGGTTCGAGCCCTGGCCCAGGAAGATGCCACATGCTGCGGAGCAACTAAGCCCGTGCACCACAACTACTGAGCCCGCGTGCCACAACTACTGAAGCCTGCACACCTAGAGCCCGTGCTCCGCAACAAGAGAAGCCACAATAATGAGAAGCCCACACACCACAATGAAGAGTAGCCCCTGCTCACTGCAACTAGAGAAAGCCCACGCACAGCAATGAAGACCCAACACAGACAAAAATTAGTTAATTAATTAAGGAAAAAAAACTTACCCCTTAGTTTTCTATCCTTAATTGTAAAACAAAAATAACTACTCTGATTCTTCCAGAAAACATGTCCCATAATATTCAAATTCATTACCTGGAATATTGCAGTATGAACCTTACTGCTCTCTTTGCTTCTTCTCTTGCCTCCCTACATTCTAGATCCTTTAAAAATATTATAAGTCAACATTTCACTTTGCTCAAAACCCTCTAAAGGATTTCCATTTCACTCAGAACAAGAACCAAAGTTCTTCCAGTGGAAGGGTCCCTAAATAGGGCACGTCCTTCGTCCTCCCCCCACTCTGATCACATCTACTAGCCTCTTCCTCATCCATTGAGCTTCAGCCACCCTGCCCTCCTTGTACCCCACCTGGGGATGTACCCTCCTGCCTCAGGATTTTGCACATGCTGTTCCTTTTGCGTGGAACACCTTCAATGCTCTCCCAGCAGGTACTTGTGTGGTTTACTTCCTTCATCTGCTCAAAAGACCTCTTAATGGGTTTCCCTTATCAGTCTTTAAAACTGTAACACACCACCCAAATTCCTGGTCCTCAGGACTTTTTTTCCATAGCCCTTAACAGTTTCTATATCATATCCTTTACTTACCTATTTATTTATTGTTACTTTATTTTGTGAACTGCCAGAATGTTTAAGTTCCATGAGGACAAAGATTTTTGTCCTTTTTTTTTTTTTTTTTAACTTTTGTATCTCCAGTATCTAGAAAAGGGCCGGCTATGTGGTAATTGCTTAGTAAATGTCAATTAAGTTAATGAACAAAAGATATTTTTAAAATATATTTTCAGAAAGGAGAAAGGAAATAACATGCCTCCAGAAGAAGGTCAACAATTCAAAAAGTACAGGAAAGAGGAAGGATGCAAGAGAGGAAGAAAAAATTTATAAAGAAGATTAAAAGAGAAATAGAGACATTAACAGGACAGACTAGAAGTATGGGTGAGTATAAGAAACAAAAGGATATTAAATTGGTCAGACAGTGGAGTGCTATTGACTGCCTGGAATTGACTAGAGGATTTCAACCCTGGCTGAATTGACAGAACTAAGTTAATATTTCACTTGGGCTAAATGGCATTTTTTAAATGTTACATAATCATGCCTTAGAATGAGCGTGCCGCCACGTAGAAGTACGTGAGTTAAACTTCAGATGAAATTTGTGGTATGTTCTTGTATTCAGCCCACTGCAGAAGAGTTGCATCAGCAATGATTCAATAATCAAGAAGTGAAAATAAGTAAATAAAAAAGAAAGGAAAAAGAAATGGGGGGGAAAGAAAAGCAAGGGAGAAAGTAGGTGAGGTGCAAGGCAAAAAGATTTGGACCAAAGTGCGTATGGTTTTGGCAATGAAAGTGGATGCTGGTAAAGAGAGCAAAAGATGAGCGACGGCGGAGAGAAACATTCTTGCTTGTGTTGGCTACTCTCTCTGAAACCTTGTCCTTACCATCTCTGCCTATGATTCTCTCACTAGAAAGCTTATGCCATATATCAGCCCCTCCACTGAAACATCATGTTTGTTAGATGCTGGAGTCAGCCCACAACTCTCTTTGGCACTAACTTTGCAGAGTCAGCCTTCTACTGTAGACGTGTTTATGTACTGTCTTTCGAATCTGAGGTTCCTCAAGGCAGGGACTTTATCTTCCTCATCCTGTTCAGGACCAAGTTCAATGCCTTGTGCTTAGAAGCAATGCTATAAATATTCGCGGAACTGAAATCTTTAGAGATCAAAGGAAATAGTGTACTTGTTAAGAGCAGGGGTCAGCAAACCACAGCCTGCAAGCCAAATCTTTCCCACTATCTATTTTCTTAAATGTTATTGGAAACTGTCACACTCATTCGTTTACACATTGCCGATGGCCTCTCTGATGCTACAGGGGCAGAGCTGAGTAGTCGTGACAGAGACTGTAGGCCTACAAAGTCTAAAATATTAACTATTTGGCTTTTCACAGGAAAGGTTTGCCCACCTCTGGTAAAGAGCTTGAGCTCTGGAACCAGACAAACTTGGATGATGTGAATTTTGCTTTCATCTCTTAGCACCTGACTTTGGACAAGTAACCACCTTTTTAAGCCTATTTTTTTTTTCATTTGTAAAATGGAATAGTAATAATACATACTTAATTGAGCGGTTGGGAAGATTCAGTGAGATAGTCTATGTCACTATGATAGCCCAGTGTCTGTCATATATTTAGCTTAGCTAGAGGACATTAAGCCAAGTGAAGTAAGCCATTCGCAAGAATGACAAATACTGCATGATTAGTCAAAATCATAGAGCAGAAAGCAGAATGGTGGTGGCCAGGGACTGGGGGAGGAAAGAATGAGGATTTTTTTTTTTTTTAATGCACATAGAGTTTTCAGTTTCACAAGGTGAAAAGAATTATGGAGATAGATGGTGGTGATGGTTACACATTATGAATGCATTTAATATCACTGACCAGTACATTTAAAAATGGTTAAGATAGCAAATTTTACATTATGTGTGTTTTAACACAATTTTAAAAAGTACTTATTAATTTATTTGACTGTGCCAGGTCTTAGTTGCAGCATACGGGATCTTTAGTTTCGGCATGCGAACTCTTAGTTGCAGCATTCGAACCCTTAGTTGTGGCCTGTGGGATCTAGTTCCCTGACCAGGGATCGAACCCGGGCCCCCTGCATTGGGAGCATGGAGTCTTAGCCACCGGACCACCAGGGAATCCCGCACAATTTTTTTAGTGGAAGGGAAAAGGCCACCTCTGTGGGCACAGGCCCAGGTATATCTCTTGCCTGAGGACTTGCTCTGCTTTACACTTTTCAGCAGCTAAGGTCACAGGAGGTTGAAGGTCAGACAAGAAGAGAAATTCATTGAGAACAACCTGTAAAGGCCAGACTACTTAACATCAAATGAGCTTTGTTGAGTCAATCAGTACCAAACAATAGTCAGATGTTATTAACGCTCCTCCTGCCTTCTCTGCCTGAACTTGGAATTCTTCCACTGGCATTGACATTGTCTGTTATTGAGCCCTTAATTATAAACATCAGGCAGAAAACTATGGAAGGGAAACGTACAAACTCCGTTCTGAACGGAGCCATCATTGGGACAGTGGTTTAGACCAGTGCTATTCAAAGTGTTCTTTGTGAACCAATTTATGACAGGATTCTACTTCTGGGTGAGATGGATGAAGACCCTACCAGACCTCACACACACACCCCCCCCCCCACAAAAACCATCACAAAACCTGGATATGACACACACACACACACACACACACACACAAACCACTTGAAGTTATTTGAGAGTGAACAGAAGCTGACAGGCTCTTATGAGGAGTGCATGCTCCTTGGGTGAGGGGAGATGGAGAGGCATACAGGTAAGTTGTTGTACCTGTGGC